GGTTTTTGTTGTAATTTTAATGTTCATTTTTTATGTTATTCAAATTATCCTTTAAGATATCCAAATTACCTCTCAAAATTGAGCTTCATTAAAACTGTAGGGGGAAATCGAATAATGGCATTACGCCTCACAAGATTTAAAGATTAATTTTATATATATATATACTTTGGATAAATATTCCTTAAACATGTGAGTTTCCTGCTACATATTCGAAGTAACGATAAAATTATTATTTTTCGAGAAACTGTTTAAAATGTTTAAAATTATTAAAATTACCCTGCTGTACCCTAATTTGATTTAAAATTTTAACGTACGTTATATATAATGTATACGGGGAAAGAGAATTTATTTAACTTGGTTTTTCAACTAAATTTACAGTTGTCGTTGATACGATCGATGAAAAGTTCTGCTAAAATTCTCTCAGTACTTATGGCAGAAACATCGTTCGATTATTAACATGTATAATTTTGAAATAACAATATTTGATTTCGTTTGACGTGACATGGCCACATAGAAAAGCTTCTATCATAAGGCACGAAGAAGCCTCTAAAGCAACCGACTTCCGTCGTCATACTTCCGACAAGGAATGCCTTACGCTACGTTGTAAAAGCAATCGTGAATGTCTTCGTCAAGAAATATGTGGATGATACCACCTGTAAGTCTAACTGGCGCGATGTAGTTCAGATTAATTCCGTAATACAAAAATATTTCATATTTTGAAATCTATTATTGGATCGTTTTTTTGAAGTTTTATAATGTACATATATTCCGAGATACTATAAACTGCAAATGTTTTAGTATATAAAAATAATATTAATATAAAGTAGCAATAAGTATTCTTTAAAACTCTTAGAGTGAATCTCACTCTAAGGAGTAAAATCTCATTCTTAAGGGTTGAAAATTGAGCCACTCTTTTTCAAGATTGGCTCAATTTTCACTCTTTAAACTGAGATTCCACTCCAAAGAATTTAGAGAGTAGACTTTATTTAAATTCTGGAACGGCGCGCGAATGGTCTGTTAGTGCCATTCATTAATTTTTAAGTGGATAGATGTGGTATACTTTTCTTTAAAACTTTATTCTGGAAAAGTAAAATAATAAGCATTGCCCAGAGATACGCAAAAGTCTTAGATACAAATATAAAATATATCTTATTTGCAATTCTCTCTGCAGAAATGCTTTAAACTAAAAAAGTTAAATAATTTGGATGTTTTTGCAAAAAAAAAAAATATATTTATTTATTTATCGTACACAGATCAAATAAAGCGGTCGTCATTTATTAACAAAAAGCTTACACTGAAATTTCATCCCTATTCTTCCACACCCACTGTTTTCCCAACATTTTTATCGTTCAAGGACGTACCGTTGCGGATATTTAAGTCGGCCAGTCTATATACGCGCGCTTAGGACGCACCTGAATAATGTTTGAAGACGACGGGAGCTGACGTTTGTCGTGGCGGTGCCTAGCGTGCAAGTTATCTCCCTTCCCTCTCGGTTTTGCCCTCCTCTACAGGGTGCTCGTACTCCCGCCTGTCCCTTGTGCCCATTGTTGCCTCATCCCTTTATCCCCCGACTCGGCGATACTCATAATTGTCCGAGAGGGCATATCGCTGTCGCGAGGGAGGGTACCCGAGGACACGAAACTAGTTATGCGCATTCCTACTCGAGAGAGAAATAGAGAACGCAATGAGGTGGAGAGAGCAGGGTAGTGATCAAGGTAAATCAACGAGATCAAGGGGGAAGAGAGAGAGAGAGAGAGAGAGAGAGAGAGAGAGAGGAGGAGAAGGAGAAAGAGAGGTACCGGTCGTCCCTCCCTTTGCCTCACGACTGAATACTTGAATATTGATTAAGCATGCACATCGCGATTACCGGGAGCAAGTAAAAGCGCTCTTCTTGCCGGGCCGGCAACCTGCGTGTCTGCGGATATTTATGTGAAGCGGTGCTTCGACGACGTCCCCCTTCATCCACCGTGCCCCGTGCCAGTCCCTCGTCCTACCCGCGAGCGCAATCCCGTCTCGGAGGGATAAAAAAGGCCTGCCGGAAGACTCGGGAAGATATCCGCTAACCATGAGACGTTTAAATGATGAGAGCGCGGATGTACGGAGAGCGTGTGCACGGGTTACTTGATTTACGATCGGCCCTCGCAGGATTATATCCTTCGATCGCGAGCCATCGCACCGCGAACGCGCGCTGCCCCAGTTCGCCGCCGGTGAACGATTAACGGAATAGCGGGAAGCCGTTCCTCAATTTGTTCCTGTTCCTTTTTTACCCCTCATCCGGCGAGCAGTTACGAGGACGGAAGTAACAACAGTGAAGTAACAACTCTACACGGATGTGTAGAACGGGTTTTAATGATTCTGAGATTATTCGCAATTAAACCAATTAGGGTTATCATATCTGAATTACACAAAGTTGGAAAATTTGTGTTAAATTCACGGTCCATTTAAATTTTTGTGTTAATTTAACATAAGAATACGTTAGAAAGTAAAACAAACATTACGTCAAAAAATTAATACAAAAAAAGTAATACTGATATAATTTGTAAACAAACCGTGGAAGCATATTTTAAAAATTAACATTTATGATATATTAAATTAACACAAATTTCATTTATTTATCCTAAAATTTGTGTTTTACAACATATTTTTATGTCATTTGTTCACTTATTCATAAATTGTGTTATTTTGACACTAAGAAATATTGAATATCAATTTAATATTTAAATAACATAATCATATTATATTAAATTAACACTCGAATACGTCAAAAATTCAACGTAAAATTTTAACGAGGACTCGAGTGAACCATTTTCAACACAAAACTTTTTTTTACTGTGCAAGAAAAGAGTACATTATATTATACATTTTTTAAAAACGGATAATTCAGAGGCGGAAAAGAGGGGTAAAATTTTTGTCTGCATTAAATGTAAGTATAATTTAATAAAATGAAATTTCTCTAAAACAATATTTCTAAAATAATAATTTTTAAAACATAATTTTTATTGACGATATTCTTATTAATTTTATAAATATAAAGTTTTAATTACTCATCAAAAGTTCACGATCTCAAAAAGAGTACGTGCACTATTAAAAAAATATGGCTGATAATTCTACTCGCGATGTCCCTATTATTATGACGTAGAAACCGGAATTGCAACCAAGATGGGCAATGTTTCTATTTGAATTAACCAGGGTCAAGATCCGCGATCAGCAACCAACTCCGACAGAGGCAAAGCTATTTGTCGACAGGCATCGACCAGCTTCACCGAGAACAGCGCTTCAAGTCGTGATTGTAAATTGTTCATTTTCAATAGAGGATAATTGTGAAATCGTGATAATAACAAAAAAATACAAGTTTCAATAGAACGTTACATTTTGTTGTACGCGCAAATATAATCCCAACTCGTTATTAGCATTGTACAAATCGCGGAAATAATTAGCCCGGTGCCCCGAATTTTTCGCTATTACGCGAAATATTGTTATGAAAAATCGTGATTATATGTATACATTGAGACGCTTTATGTATGTTGCATCATTTTCACACATTGTCATCTGTTCGCTTTATGATAAAAAATGTTTCTCTATTATATTTAACAAAAAAAAATATATATATATATATACGAAGCCAGTAACGTGGTGTGTTGTAAATTATAACGTAAGTTACAACGTAATTAGTCAAGTAACGTGAACCGCGATTACTCGATATTTCTTCGTGCTTTCCGAGAGGAAGGCGCGAGAATATAATTCACAAGCCGATACCACTGAGCTAATTTACCCCGGCCGAACGCGCGTAGCTGTCTAATTAAGCTGGCTTTCGCGCAACAAAGCGCCGTACGTGTAGCCGCAATCGGGTGGGCTTTACAACACCGGCCGGTATCCGGCGCTTCCACGTTGTTGACCACGATCGTCCTCCACTCGAAGGCGGAGGAAACTACGGGGAAAAAAGGCCGGGGGGATGCGCGGGACGACGACGCGGGATAGGAGAAAAAGCCCTCGAGCTTTGAATATTCAGTAGGTACGTACCGGTGTGCGCCGGCCTCCCCCGTCTGACCTTATTTTTCTACTGGAAAAACCACAGCTTCCGTCTACTGCTTAGGGATTCGCTTCGCCGTTCGTGGAGAAGACACGTCGCCGGAAATTTGCACCAACGCCCACCGGTTGGACGAGGGGCAGACCGATTTAAATTGATTGGGACGGATACGCGTCGCCGATAAACCGTCGTCTTGATAAGTGAAGTTCTAACGGAGTGGAAAAGAGTACCGAAGGATGACGGCTCTATCGATCCCTCGGGTCGGTAGAACAGGTAACTGGTCTATGTACGCTCAACTCTTCGTCCAGATTGATAAACTAACGATCGTAGGTAAGACGCTACGTTGTTCTAGGATGATATGCACCGTTCGTTATCGGACGGTCGGTAAAACCGAGATTTCGCAAAATTAAAGTGGATAATTGACATTGTCATATTTTCTTAATATATTTTTCAAAGTTTAATTAATATTTTATGAGAACGAGTAAAAGTCAAAATAAATGTGTGTCATATGCGATAAATTATACTTTTACTTGTATCAGAGTTAAATTGTTAATTTTATAGAACAAGTTAATATTAGAACCGTTCCATTTTTGGTCCATTTGTTAGTTATATTCATATATATATAATTAAATGGAAATAGATATATTTATAATTCTATTTTACGTCCATTTTATAATGAGATCAAAGAATACATTTTACTTAAACAGATAAGAATTCCTGCGATTCATTTTTAATCCTTCAGTGCCACTCTACGTTTTATACCTATTTTTATGCAATATTTTTACACAATACTACATGGGTATTGTATAAAAATATCGCATAAAAATAAACATATTAACGAATTTATGTATCTTTATCAATAAAAAAAATCATAACATAGCAAAATAAAAGAAACAAGTACGCCACACAGGGACACTGAAAGATTAAATATCATACAGTTCTGTTACATCACAATAAAAATCGAGATACTTACCTGGATAATTGCAGTCATGTTCGTCGCTACCATCTTGGCAATCCTCCACAAAGTTGCATCGTTGAGATTCCAATATACATCTGCTTACGTCGCACGCGAACTCGCCAGCACTACAGCCTGTAAAACGTAAATCATTATTACGTGTAGTTAGATACTTTCATTACAATTTTATCACAATATGCTTTTAAATTTGAAACATGCGGTCGTATATAATATTGATGAAAATACAAGAATTTATCTTTTAACATAAAAAGCGTTAAAAAAAGTACGAGAATTTTATTCATCATTAGCACATGCATCGATACAAAAGCTTACTAGCTCTAATAATATACATACAATTTTATAAAACGAGAATAAAACATATAATTGAAACTTTCTAAGCATAGCTCATATATAAAATTGTTCCCTTGCTTCAAAAATAATCCAATTAAAAACCTTGATTTCCGAGTTATTGCTTACTTTCCAGCAAGGACATATGGTGTGTTCAGGGAGACGCTATTAGCGCTACTTCTATCATTCTATCTTCGTTGTTTATTAGACGTAAAACAAGGATAGAATGACAGAAATAGCGCTAATAGCGTCCCCCTGGACGCACCTATAGTCAGACACTGTGTTACATAGTGTCTGACTGTGTCCTTGCTGGAAAGCAAGGGTTATCATGAATGAGTCAAATAAACATTACCTTATTATCATCAATCACAAGAAAATAAACTAAACAATAATAAGATTGGAAGACCGCTCATGTTAAATACATTACTTTAAACTAAGAATTCATTTTAAATGAATTTAGAATAGTTCAACATCTTAACTTTCAGACCGTTAGTGGCGCTTCTTAGTTTAAAGTAATGAAAATAAACTAATATAAATTCATAAAAAATTATCAAAATCGTCAAAATTAAAAAAAAAATATGGTTAAAAAAAGTCGGCACAATTAAAAAAGGGTGGTATTTAAAGAGTTGTAAAATAAAAATATAATAAAAATGACATTTGATCGTGTTATAAGAATATATTTCTTTTTGCTGCGATATTTAATTAATCAATAATTTTCTGTCACAGATTGAAAAATAATTTTTCCCTTTATTCACTTTTGAAGTAAGGAACAGACATACGTAGTAATGTATATACCCTATATTGTTGATTGTGTATAAAAGGATATCACATTACAAAAAGAAGCTTATACATACATACTTATGTACATACATACATATATTAAGAATACAAAGTTAAATATACATTTTTTAACTAGAAGAACCGCTTCTGTTATCTTAAGTTACCGCGAATATAATTTTTATTGAAATTTTTTAAAATCCTTTTATTGTAATGATTTCAAAACTATACAATTCTTCGGTTTTTAATTAAGTCATTTCCGTTAGAATGGTGAGAAGCGGTTCTTCTAGATAGCCGAGTTTTAGCGCCCCATTCTTGGCGAAGATCAACCGGCTCAATCTGTACCTGGATGCGGGCAATCGATCTCGTCACCACCGTCATCGCAGTCCGGAACGCCATCGCACTGCTGTACCGAACAGATGTAACGACTGCCGTCGTGACAGCGTACCGTGTCATCGGCGCGGCACTTGTTCGAAGACGACCTCAGCGTGGACTCCTCGGTCTGCTTGTCGTCGGTGTCCGGTACCTCCGGATTTACCGTGTGAGTCGTCTCCGTCGGGAAATGTAGCGAGGGATGTTGTGATGTCACGGTGGTGTATTCAAAATCTGTTGTTTCGTTTATCAGCGTAGTTTCAGTGTCGACGGTTGCAACATGCAATTTTTACACGCTTGTTAGCGAAGAATATGAATTAGATGAAAAGATGACACAGTGATAGGCATTGTAGATTTTTCAACCAGTGCTTTCATTTTACTTGTAGTATTACTTCCCAAAAAAACATACCAAGTCAAGAGAACGTCAAAACGACTTAATTTTGACGTCATGAAAGTCAAAATGATAATTTTTGGTTACAACATTTGACTGTTCATTGATGTTAAAAATCAAAATAAAAAAACTGATTTTTTTTATTGTCTTTTGTATGTTCCTTAGGTTGAATATGACACTATATATAAATAGAAAAAATCTAGTTTTCAAGAATATTATACAGGGAAAATCCGATTTTGCTGATTTAAAAATTTAGATAAATACAGATCTGAAAATATAACTTTGTAGGACCAAAATAATTATATGGAAAACTCAAGCATGATGAAAAAAAAACAATGTTGCAAAAAGTTTTGACGTTCTAGCAACCAGTTTGAGCATTCTATATAATTAAATATGATACTTCAGTAAAATCGTTCTTTCGGTATTAATAATTTTTGTGTAATATTCTTGTTCAAATAAATTTGAATTATATACTCTACATTTTTCTTCTGTAAATATAAGTATTTCTTTTTTTATAAGTTATTTTACTCTAGTCACATAAATTGTACTAAAAAATAAATTTATAATGAACTGTGTTTCGTTATTCAGACAAAATTGAAAATGCTAGGAGAGAGTTAATTTAAAACGAACGATAATGAAGATAGAAGTAAAGATGATAGACAGAAAATCTATAGTAGAGCTCGCCACACCGGCGAGCTGGATCTCCATGAAAAATCTGAGAGATATTCGAAGATATTTTTAAGAGACATATATACATAAACGCGGTAATTTGTATTAATTAATGTAAATTAATGCAATTAGAAAATTAATATAATAATAAATGGATCATGCTTATATTTATGTTACAACGTACCGTATATTTGCACATAGGCCACATTGTAATTTTCGTTAGTCAGAAAAAAAGGATAAAAATAATGCGAGTTTTATAGATAAGCGCTATTAACAGCGATCTAGCATTATGTACAGTTTTCTACTCTTTGCAGGAAGAAGATCACGCAGTTCCGCGTACTTACCGTCGCGTGTCTTATTCAACGAATCTGTCGGGCAGTTGTCCTCATCGGAATTATCGTTGCATTGCGATACACCATCACATCGAGATTCTAGAGGTACGCATTCGCCGCTTCTGCACCTTAATTCTGTCATCTGATCGCATTCCGGCTGCGTGTCCTTCTCTCCGGCTGCGTTCGATGTCGCGTGTCGTGTTCGTGTGCATTCAATGCGTCGAAAGTAGGCGGAATAAGCGAATCGTGCCACCAGTCAATGTTCATTTGAAAGGGAGAGGAAGTTTGAAAAAAGAAAAACAACTAATCAGAACGAAAACTTAATTAAGGAGGAAACTGGAATTAAAATAAATACATTTTTATAAATTAAAGTAATAATAATGAACTTAATGAGAATCTTAAAGAATGAAAAATATAGACTGTGTAACTGGAAATCGTGAAAATTCCGAGTGAAGCTTACAGTTAAAAGCAGTTGAAACATAAATTACATTCCTCGTGCATTTCTGCGCGTATTAATTATATTCTAACAATAATCTAATAATTCTAACAATAGTCTAAACATGCCGAAATAGTGTGTTTTACCAAAATGATCGATTTCAATGCTAGATATACAGTACGAGTATTCACATCTCACTTTTATAAATAAATATACATTTAATATACAATTTAGTATATAATTTACATCATACATACAGTATAGAATCTCAGAAATAAATGTGCGCATTTATCGATAAAAGTGAGGTATGAATACGGACCATTGTCTTTTCGGTTGTTGCGTATAATTTTTTTCCGATCGCAGCTATCAATCCCATTCGTTGAGCAGTCGATCGTTCGATATTCACCGGATCTTCGTACGTTCTATATTCGACTTTCCACAAGCTAGTGGCATCATGGAAAGCTGAACGAATTACGAAGTTTAGTTTCGAAAGCTCCAACGTGAAATCGATCATTTCCATGTCGTTAGGCGATAGCCGCCTAAGATGGAAATACCTTGGAATATCCTGAATGTGAATCCCTCCGGACCTACTTGGATACTGCCCAAGGAATGATATTGCAGCTGTTGCTCTAGGATAGCACGCACTTCGAGCTCGTCCGTGAATGTCGAACCAATGTCTAGAGTAACTTGCGACGTAAAAGCGTCGGTCGTTGGTCTGAAAGAGAAATTTTAATTATTAGACACAATGGAGACACGACTTTAAGAATCAAAATTGGACTAGACAATCATACTTACGATATCTTGACGACGCTGGCGAAATGATTGTATCCTGGAATGTGACGATTGTACAAATTCTCGACGGCGTGTGTAAGATTGCTACTCAATTCTCGGTATTCAAGACTGTTTCTGTCAGCGTATTCTCGTCTGTAGGGCTCGCCAACTGTCAGTGTTATTCGATAGAAGCCTAGAAGAGAAACATTAATTGATAATAAATAATTAATTTCATAGAAATATATCAGTAAATAATATGTTTCTTTTATAAAGAGGATATTTCAAATATCACTTCTATTTCAGCCCCTTGATGTATTATCCTTCATCCGTTTATCTACTTTATAAAACTAATGCTCTCTGACGTTACTAATACTATATTTGAAAAGTTAGTGGTAAAGAGATAAAAAAGTTTATTTGTTATATATTTCTAAAGATACTGATAAGATTTTTTTACAAGTGTTTTAAAAAAAGCACTCTTGTTATCAAAGTGCTTGATTCATTAACTTGATGATCGGAAAAGTAGAAATACATTCAAATAATATGACCTAATTTTTTATTACTAAAAAGATTCTTATTACGAAAATAAAGCGTATTTTACTTTTACTAAAATTTAAACAAATAATAGACTTTAATAATATTGAACAATTGATATCAACATTATATAATAATACAATTAATATTAACTACATATTCTTTGGATTAAAATATTTTTGATACATAAGTCGCCATTGACCAAATCGGTCAACTCCTTTTTGAATATTTCAAAATTTATTATCAAAGCGCTTGATAAGAATCAATCAAGCACTTTGATAATAAAATTTTAAAACATTTAAAACGTGGAGTTAACCGATGACAAATGAGCGGCTCATATCGAATAAGTAGTTTTAATATAAATAAAGCTGTTTATTTCTGATATCGATGTTATAAAAATATCAAAATATTTTTTAAATCTTTGCAATTTTGATCGATAAAATTTATGTACGACAAGTTGTTATGATAATTTTTATTATTCTTATTTATTATTATTATATATATATATATTGTTCAAAAAAATATATATACTATTAGTACACTATTCTGTAATTGAAGTTAATAAAGTTTTAATAGATTCTTCTCTCAAAACAGACAACGAGACAAATAATGAATTAAACTCTGTTTTATTTCATTCTTCAATTTTTTAAATTAATGAAATCGCGAATAAAGAATTAGAAACTTACGTGCTTTGCCGTCAGTATTGCGATGTGTGTTTCCTGAGTTGGGAGAGTAATCCACTTCGCCTGCGCTGCCTTCGATCTCTCCTGAACCAGCCAAATCTTCATCATCGGTATTTCCGTACGTTAGTAGTATTCTTTGACTTTCTGCAGGGTTGTTAATTTCATTGTCGTGCTGTAAAGACGTAATAAATTTCCATGTAATAAATGAATGTCATAACTGAATAAAACGTTAAAAAGCACAAATGTTTAAATTGTTCATTGACCTTGTAACTATCCTTCTATAGCTCTATCATTTTAATTATTGTGTCTTTGAACACCATTTAAATGAAAAATATTCGTGCAATTTAATTAAATGTGACAGGTAAAAATTCAAAAGGTAAATATTTTTTAAACAATGTTCCATACCTCATCTACTTCGTCATTGTCTTCGTTCTTTTCGAGAACCAATCTTTGGATGACACCGATACCCGTTTTGGCATTTGGCACTTCAGGCTGATCAAGAGTATGATTTCCTTCATCTCCAACATTTAAGATGACGGATTTGTCAATATCCTGATTTTGAATCTCATTTTCTTCTTCTTGATCTATCGGGTATAGAATTTTACAATTGTAAAATTAAATAATGACACGGTTTAAAAAGAACAATGCAAGTGTTTTCAATTTCGTAATCCTAATAATAAAAATTTACTATAATATAACAATGCAATTTTTTCTAATTGTACTCAATTAAGAAGAAATTGGTACCTGACAGCGGTGGTGTAGTTGTCGTGGTCGTGGTCGTGGATAGCGATGTAATTAAATCCAAAACTCCTCTCTTTATCCTGCGAAAAATAGAATCGTCCTGATGCTTTTCGATCAATGGTACTTGAGCCGCAGTTAGTTTGCCTTCTGGATCGAAAATCAAGTCGTCATCCTGAAAAAACAGGTCGACATTATGAATTACGAAACTTTATTAAAAAATAACAATTGTTTTATTGATCACGGTTATTATATATAAATAATAATAATTATAATATATTAATATAATAATCTCTGTAATTAATCCACCATCACTATACAGAAAATTTTAACACAGGCTTATAAATCCAATCTTTTCTTGAAACATAAAATCTCGAAGTTTTTGTGGTACACTTGAATTTTTCAAGCGGTTTTATAGATATCCTCCGCATTCGTTACAATTTTTTGCTATACTTATGACAAATATATAAGTCCCTATCGTTATTGAAAATTATAAAATTTTACAAAAAATTAACAATTGTTTCTCTATCGGTAATAATTATAATGTATGATATAATAATCCCTCTAATTAATCCATCGTCAAAGGATTTTCGCAGAAGCTTATAAATCTTTTTATGAAATGTAAAACTCAAACTGTCTCTCTGGTTATATGTCAAACGATTTCATAAACCTTCCTCCGCATTCGTCACAATTTTTTTGCCACTTATGACAAATGCATAAGTCACTATCTCATTGAGTGCCCGAGTACCTGCCACCTAGATAACCACATGTGGCCGTATACGCGCGCGCGAGCAGCAACGGCACGTACATGTGAAAGGCCATTGAGCGTGTATATCACCAAGTAGCCTCACGTGTTCCTCATAAAGAACCAATTCTCACCTAAACACACGATATAAATTCAGGATCGTCGGGCCATTCTACCGGCAGCAGCGCGTCGTGATTCCGTAAGAATCGCGCGACCGGCAAACTGCCCAAGATTCGAGTACGCGGGTCAATGACGTAGTTCGTACGGGATGAAAATGGAGAACCGGCGTACCGTATGGTGGATATAAGCCGCAGGAGCCAACCGGAATAACGTATCGTTATGGGCGAATACCTGACGATTTTGGGGTACGTACAACCCGTCCGATTATGCGCTGCCGTTACAACATAAGTATGAATAATACACCGTATACCGAGTGGTGAGACCTTACAGGCGTTTATTATGTACGAATGGAAAGGAGGCGACGATCGATTAACGAATGTTTTTATTTATTCACGTCTTGAATAAATTCTCTCATCGTTCTATTTGCATACTCATATTCGCGAGTAACGGTTTAATCGATAAAATTAATGAAAAGTCGATTTCGTTAAAATTGCCTGATCCTCAAGATTACAATTAATTTTCAACAATATCTACTTTAATTAATTTTTTAATCTGTGATTCTTTTCGGTTTCATATAAAAAATTTATTTAATTTGTCGAGGTGCATCAGTGATTTCTTTTCAAGAACAAACGCAGGACAAATAAAGACAGGTGTCTCGTTTCCGACGCTGCGTGGATGCACGCACGCACAAAGTGCACTGTAACACGTGAGCGGAAACGTCGTGTCTTTTTCAATGGGCGCGAGATGAGAGGCTCGTGCACTGGTAATGAAGCTTAAATCGCACCAGAGCCGAGACGTATTATTACGGTGGTGCATTTACACGCCTCGTCGGGCGTCATTTAAAGATTCGCGTGCAGCATCCGACGGTCGTGCGCGCTTACACACGCAAGCTGTATTTGCTCGCGCATGCACACGTCATCGAAAAGGGAGTGCGAGCACACGGCGTATATGTTACGTAACTTTGAACTCGGTTTTAACGAGGCTAACGACACGGCGGTGCATTTATTAATTCGCGTTCGAAACAACCCAAACGTTCGTTGCAACCGCATTCCCTGCGAAGCACTCTAATGCCTTCTCTTCAGATCAAAAATGTCAGAAGAAACATGTAACGCAGCAGATATCGTTATTCCAGTTCTGTATTAATTAACTTTTTATCTCATATTCGCGAATGTATTACTTGAGCGTTAACAGCCACGAATACGAGTTAAGGATGCGACAACGCCCGATGTGCTTGTTGTTTCGAAATTGCGGAAGTCCGGGCTTAGCGGGACGCAGATAAAACACACTGCGAGGGACCATTTTAGATCGCGATAACAACCATGATGCGCGGCACATCCTGCCAGAAAACAGCTCATACATTGTTTGCAACGAAGTTTTATTACAGACAATTTTGCATTGAAACTATCCTTTGAACGACGACGTTCCACACGTCTATCGTTATCGGCTAATATGAAAGAGAACAGAGATTTTATAATTTAAAAATTATTGGAAAAGAACAAGATATCTTCTCCCAAATATTTTAACAAATTCAGTAAAAATTAGTGAAAACGAATAAAGTCACCTGTTTGTGATAAAAAAAGGAAAAATTTGATAAAATGTTAATCTTCCGCAGCTGACACCAAATCTGTAACACAATTACTGATACTAAATTTGTGAGATTTAATATCTGTGGATTAAAAGGCGCTAATTAATTTCAAGAAATCATCTCGTATAAAAATAAGAAATAAGTACATTTTAATAAGAATAATCCAAATTTGCAAACGGAAAGAAAATTGAATTGTTTGATATTTTTGTATAAAATGACAATTGCTACAATAACACAAGATATATAAATTAAGAATTAATAATAAATTTAAATATAGTAATATATTTTTTTTATCATAATATTATTTCACAGAAAAAGCTAAATTATTTTTATTCCGGAATTTTTATTATTCAAACAATCACTGCGTAGTACATTGTTGAAAATGAAATGTTTAACTTAAAAAGACTTATAATGGACTTTCTGAGATGCAAAAATGTTAAAATTAACTTTTTTTTTTATTTTTGATAGTACCTATAGATTCACGTCAGCTCTGGATGAGGGTTAAATAAAATATTAGATTTGTTCTTTGTTTATACCTACAGTCAAATAATTAATGGTTCAAATTCGTTTTGCAATTTTTTCCCTTCACAATATAAGATCGTAGCACAGATTTTATAATTAGATATCTAAATGTGATTGAAAATGTTTTGTAGTATATTTCTCGTATCTTGTTATGTGTTCCATGACTCTGTAAACTGCTACATTGGGTGTGTGAGTTCATTGAACGGTCATGAAGCGCTAACGAGAATAAAATTGAAGTTGGACGTCATAATAGAGCTGTTCGGAAAAAATTAAGAGTCTGACCGCGGAAGGGGTGCGAGGAGGGAGGGATGCGCGGAGCATCGGGTGCACCCCGAGACGCGGAACTTTGTTATTCCGGCCAAGTTTTACACGGGATTCCGTAGCTAAGTCCACTCTATGATCCTTTCACGGCAACTACGTGCTCATACTTCGACAAAACACCGCCCCTATAGTCCGAAATCCTTAAAATGCATGGGAAATACGTGTTGCCGCAGGTTAAGTAGCCCTAGGAAATTCGTCCTGCGTCGAACAGGACCGGAGAACTTCGGAGGGCTTTAGAATGGCAAAGTTGCACGGAGATGCGACGGAGACGTAAGATACTCGGTCAATCTCCCCATTTTCATTTTTTCCCTCTTCTTTCTCTCTTTTTTCTCTTAACGAGCCTGACCTCACCTTGACGATTCGAATAATGCACCGGTCGGAATGACTTGGCGAGATGTATTTCGCAATTACGCAAAAACTTTCGTTGCCATATGCGGTCGCTTCAAACCGGATGGAATATACGGAGCGCCCCGATGACTATACAAGGTAATGTGCAAGAGGAAATGTAGAAATCGGTAACAGAAGTGAGAACACGCGTGAATTTTTGAGTAGTTTAACATCGATATATAGCACTGAACGGAGCATAGCATCTTAACCATTTTGACAGACCTAGAAAGAGATGCAATGGGTAGAATACACTGTTCTCTCTCTGAAACAAAATTCGAGCAATAGGACAATAGTAGAGAGTTCCGTGCTCATATTTACCTTTTTCTTTCTAGGTTCGTCAAGATGAAAAATTAAAAAGATTTTGCATGCTCCAATATTATATGTCGATGCAGTTTAATTACGCTTGTAATTAATTGTTAAATATTAAATATAGAAATATGTACACTGAGAAAAAATATCATAAATTTCAATAAAAATTTATTTGAATAGTACCAATTAAATATTTATTAATATATTTATTTGGTATAAAAAACATTAATTTGATTTAACAATCACTTCTTTTTATTAAGTAAATATTTATTTATTGTAAGTAAATGTTTAGTTGGTGGTATTCAAATAAATATTTATTTAAATTTAGGCTATTTTTTTCTCAGTGTAGTTAATTGTATAATATTAAATATAGAAGATATCTATATATTTAAAATTATACACTCTATACTCTTTTGTATAATTTTTTGTTTATTTTACATCACTGCGCAAGCGGCGCTTTGATAAGAACCGATAAGCGCCTTGGAGAACAGCGGCACTTTCACCGCTGGCTTCTCCTCTCATTGATGCAATTCTGAATTGCTTGTATGTTACCGAACCGTCGTATGTAGGCTATCTTCGTTTGCTTACACTCTGCTCAAATGACGTGTGTACGAGATAACAGATATATCTTTTACATAGTGCCTTCAACAGACTCCATCCAAAAGACTTTTTTACATAACCGCATCGATAACAAAGATAAATTTGAAAAGAAAAAAATACAGTTTCGCTATAATCGAGAGAGAAACTGAGATGTCTGGACAGATTCCGATTTCCATAATATATTGAAGAAAAAATCAAAGTTTATCAAATCTACATAATTCGCATAAAATGTTTCTGAAACTCTAACATTATATTTCAATTTTCATTATTCTTTTTGATGATTTACAATGTAAAGATTGATAATATTCTACACATCCTTTAAATAAAGACAAATGCAAAATTTTTTTAATTATTGAAACAATTTGCGCTGAATGTAACAATATATATAAACAATATTCATACATTTAGCGAACTTATAAGGTTGAGGTATCTCACGCAAGTAATGAAGAGTTAACAAAGAATAAATCGATATAATATTGAGCGTCAAACATTCCCTGGCATGAAACAAGAACACAGAAATTCCAAGTAGTTCACAAATTGTAACAAAGAAACTTAGTGTCCACATTATTACATTAATTTATAATAA